GGACAATAAACCCACCCTTTAAAATCTCACCAACCTGATCACGTGTCTTCACTGGGCTGCCTCCAAGCTGGCAGCCAGGGCCGGCTCTGTGGCCAACAGCTGCCCAAAGCTAATGGCACTGCCCAGGCACTGGGGGGCCCAAGGGGGGTTCTCACTCACCAGACAGCGGGTCTTTGCCAATCATCAAAACATTGGGCAGATTCATTACGATCAGCTGCTGGAGAACTTCCTACAGAAACAAAAGGAGAAAGAGACCGTCAGGCACAGGAAACGAAAATAAAGAATGATTAAATAAATTTCAGTTGTATCAAGTCACTGAAAGAGCTTATGCCATTAAACAATAATTATGAGCATACTATATAATAACAAGGAATATTTATGACAGAAATATACATGAAAAGTCAAATTCTAATTGTATTTCTGCCTTGAACGTTACCAAATAAAAATTAAGTCTGCCTATGTACGGAGACCGTGGAAAAAATAAGATACATTACATGCTCGGATAGCAGGATTACAGTGAATTTCCTTTTTAAAGAGGTCCTTAATTATTTTTATTATTATGCCTGTGCAATTAAAAAAGAACACAGGATAAAGATCAAAGAGATGCTACTGGGTCTTTATAACCTGATGATTCAGGATCAAGCATTAAGCATTTCTTTTGGTACAAGCTGTAAATGAGACTTCCCTGATTTGCAGAGGCGACTTCCCCGGGAGAGGGATAAATCACTGCTAATATGCGCAGCAGAGGTGGTGCTTGGGGGAAAAGAGCTGCCTCACTCCTCACCCTGAGGGTTTTTCAAAGAAGCCCCCCTGCCCAGCCATCAGTCAGAGCCCCTGTCCAGCGCCTTTCACAGCTCTCTGTGGAGAGTACTAGCTTGTTGTTCCCGCCACCCAACACTAACATCTCCCAGGACATCTGTCATGGCACCGCCGTCTTCCCTGCGCAGATGTGCCTTGTTTTTCACAAATAAGAAGCTAAACATCCCATTTTAAGGGAGACAGATAAGGGAATAGGTTTCGTACCTATTCTAAGTCTTAGAAAAGTGATCACTGCAG